CGGTCTCCACATGGAGTAAGTCTTCTCCTCACTCAGCCATTGGCAACAGCTCCCAGGGACGCGCGGGTGGGAATGCGCTCGTCTCGAAGAAGAATATACACTCCCAGTTGCTAAGAGAGCCTCGGCGGCTGGAGGCTTTTTCATAACTTTAAAAAAAATCTGGAGTTTTTTTTAAAAAAACGGGACGCAGGAAAAATTGTGAAATAGCGTGACTATCCCGCCAAAAGCGGGCCGTCTGGTCACCTTATGCAACAGTCGTAAATGTGAAAATGGTCATAAATCACTTTTTTCAGTGCCGTTGCAACTTTGAACAATCACTAAACGAACTGTTGTAAGTCGAGGACTATCTGTATTGACTGAGGAAGATGGATGCTGCTTTGCCGCATATCTTGAGGGTGATTGCGTTCAAGACTCCATTAGCAAGCTTGGTAAAATTGGAACGGTTACCATAGAGAATCTCCAAAGACAACGATGACTCCTGTGCCAAAGGGTTCTATTAAAATAGAGTTACGAATAAAGCTTCCCATCAGCCTTGATCTTTTTCCAGAATGAAGGAATTAAGAAAATTTGTTTAAAGGAATTGCCAAGGCAGAAAGTTTACTCCCTTAATCATAACTGTGATTTGTATTGTTGGTTCCTTCAGCTGCTGAGACTCCTTTGCTGAAGAACTTCAATAAAAGTTCCATGAAACGCCTCTCCTATCTGGTTCTGATTGGCATCTGTGCCACGCTAAACCTGGTTTGCGGACTACAAAAATACAACAAAATATGAACAATCTACCATGTTCCCCCCAAAATAAGACAGGGTCTTATTTTCTTTTGACCTCCGAAATAAGCGCTTGGCCTTATTTTCGGGGAGATCTTATTATTGTTGAGGTGCAGGAAGAGGCAAGCATGATCACCTATATTGCTCCTGTATTGCAATATTTTTGAGGAGGGCTTATTTTACTGCATGTACTCAAAAGCCTGATTGGGCTTATTATCCGGGGAACTCTTATTTTTGGGGAAAGGGGGGGGTATATATTACTAAAAAACTCATTCACAAAATTTTTATTTGGATGAATATAGCAATAATTTTTGAACCAATGTAACTCAAATAGGCTAATTTACACAATGTGTCCAAAATCCGGGATCCAGGAATCGCAAAATTTGACAAATTTTATAAAATGCTTTATGACATAAAATTATAATAAAATTAGAAGTGATTAGACATTCTGCTATAGTTGAACAGACTGAGGAATCTATTAAGAAAATATCTCTGAAAGGGTAATTCACCAGATCATGTGTAGTCTAATTGTATATTTTAAATGATAAGGTGAAAATAAAGCCCATCAATATTAAAACTTTATAATGTGCTTGGGAAATTATTTTTAAAACGCCTTTGCTACTAAATTACAATTTTCTGTAAATCCAGTCAAATAAATAAACATTGTGAATATCATTCCATTGCTAAATTTTAACAAAGTGATCTTATATATCGGGTCAACAAACTGCGGCTCTGGAGCCGCATGTGGCTCTTTCCTCCCTCTGCTGCGGCTCCGTCACTGGTCAGTGCCACAATTTTGAGAGGAGCTTCCAGTCCGGGGGGGAGAGAGAAGCACAGTGCGCCAGGAGAAGACTCTATGGCAAGGGAAGGGCTTTCCAGTTGTCTCCACATTGATAGGGCTTTCAGTTATGACAGGTAGAGGAAAAAGTACGCCGCGCTAGGAGGAGACTCTATGGTGGGGGAACTGAACTTCCAGTCAGCTCCAGAATTGAACAGGGGGCTTCCGGTTAGGAACTTTGCGGCTCCTGTTGTTTTCTTTTCAGTGGGAAACGGGTCCAAATGGCTCTTTCTTTACATACAGGGTGTTTGTTGACCCCTGTTCCATATCATCAGGATATTCCACTGTGTTTAAAGGGCGTGTTTAAAGAAAACATGACCCACTGGATTCTGGTCAAAAGGTGTCCAACTGAGATGAGGGAGACATAGTGTGGCTGGATGTTAACAACTATATGAACCATAATGATCTGAACCATGGCTTACTGAACTAAGGTATTTATCCAACTTTTTGAACTGTTTCCCATTCCCATTATGCCGGATAGTGGCATGCAAACCACCAAAGGAGCTCAGACGGGACCTAGAAGACCTGTCCTGCCTTTTCTGCTGTTAGCCCCACTCCCAGCCCCCAGAACATCATCCCACCCCCCTCCACGGTTGGCCCCATCCCAGTTAACCTTCCTGAAAGCCCTGGAAACTTGTGGATCCCATGGGTAGCCCACAAGGTGAGCTTATGATGTTGGATAACAATAGCAATAGCACTTAGACTTATATACCGCTTTCCAGCCCTCTCTAAGTGGTTTACAGAGTCAGTGAATTGCCCGCAACAATTTGGATCCTCATTTTACCCATCTCAGAAGGATGGAAGGCTGAGTCAACCATGAGCCACTCAGAATCTAATTCCTGCAGTGAGCAGTAAGTTAGACAGGCAGTATTGCATTCTAACCACTGCCCCACCACAGCTCTAGATTATAAGGTTTTAAAAAATGTTTTAAGCATAATTATATAGGCAGTCTTTGATTTACAACTGTAATGGAACCTGCCCATTACAATTGTAAGTCAAAATGGTGATAAATTGGGTTTTTCATGTGACACATTCAATTTTAAAGCATTATTTTGTGGCAGTGGTCAAGCAAATATTAAGCATAAATGCTGCGGTCATTAAGCAAGTACCATGGTCCTTAAACAAGCCCATTAGTCACAATGACACAGTTTTACTGAAAACCAGAAGTGCCTGTTTTTGGCAAAACTGTTAAAATCCCATCAGATGACCATGGAACTCTGCAAACAGCCATAAATGTGCTCAAAGTGGACTCCACTATCAGAACTTTGGATCCTATGCTTTTTCAGGTAGGTCATAACTTTGAACAATAAGAACTTTAAACAAACAAGTAATTGTGAGAGGGATCTTGGAGTCCTAGGGTATGATCACCTGAGTATGAGTCAAATGTGTGCAGCCATCGCCAAAAAAACTAATACAATCCTGGGTTGTATAAACAGAGGGATAGAATCAAAATCATGTGAAGTATTAGTACTGCTTTCTAAAAGACCACACTAGAATACTGCATCCAGTTTTATTTTTATTTTCCAGTTTTAGTCTCCACATTACAAAAAGGTGTTGAGATTTTGGAAAAAGTGCAAAGAAGAGCAACTAAGATGATTGAAGGCCTGGAGACAAAAACATAGGAAACAAATGGTTGCAGGATTTGGCTAGTCTAAACAAAAGAAAAATTAGGGATGACATGATAGCAGTATTCCAATATTTGAGGGGCTGCCACAAAGAAAGGGGGGTCAACTTATTCTCCAAAACACCAGATAAATAAAAGCAGAACAACTGTGGCAAAAAAAGCAAAGATAGGACCAAAAAAGATATTGAGACTTTGGAAAGCATGCTGAGAAGAGCAACTAAGATGATTAAGGGCCTGGAGACATGAAGAACAGTTGCAAGAATTGGGTTTGTCTAGTCTAGTGAAAAGGATTAGAAATGATATGATGGCAGCCTTACAATATTTGAGGAACTGCCACAAAGAAGGGGCGGTCGACTTATGTCCCATAGCAGGCTATTTGAAAGAGAAAAAAAGTTATTTGGGAGCATACAGATAGCTCTCATAGGAAGGTGTAAATGGAGGTATAGAGGTTAGAGATAAATACAGGGCAGGTAGTAGTCTGTGGGGGTGTATGGTATGAGTGTGTACTTGTAATTAAGTGTCTCTGATGCTTAATTTGGTTGGACGTGTAACTCCAGTGGAGAAAATATTTTAATTCACTTTTCTTACGTTTGCAGATCTTTTTCTTTATTGTATGCATTAAGTTGGGGCAACTCATTTGTGAGGTCAAAGCAGTTTGTGTAAAGAACTTTCCCTGGTTTACTATTGTTTGGGCAGGTTCATTTATTTATTTAGGATGATTGTTCATTACCAGAGTAAGAAATGGATTCCTGGTCTTTGCAACACAGTTTTCCTACTTTCCCTTACTTTGTTAGTCCCATTAGTGATGAAAAGGAGGGTCAGAAACAGGATGGAAACAAAGTTGTTTTCGATATAATATTTTAAATTTTCTTTGCAATACAGGAATCACATTTTGTGAGAAGGGTGGGCTGTAACTGTATCAATTTGCTAAATAAATGAATAAATGCTACAGAAACCGAGGCTGAATTGAAACAGGCTCCTGCCTGAGCAGGGGGTTGGAGTAGATGACCTCCAAGATCCCTTCCAACTCTTGTTACTGTTATCACGCTCCTTTGGGTCTCAGGAGAGATGCGTTTGGGGAGAGAAGCCCCCATGTGTTTGGGGGCGTTAGAGGGATTGGGGAGGGGGTTCTGGCAATCCCCCCCTCCAACCTGCTTGTCCTTCGTGCCTGGAAGCATGTAAGCATTTTGCAGAAGAGCATTGGGCTCTTCTGCAAAAAACGCTCTTCCTTTCCCTGCAGACTCAGAGGGGCGGCGCCGGCTACTCTGCCGGGACAGAGGAGATGACGGTGCGGGAGGGGCAGAGAAAAGACCCCCGCCCTCCCAAGGCTTCCTTTCCATTTGCTGCAACTAAACGTTTGCAAAGTCCCCAAAAAAATAACGCTGTCAGAAGTGGGATTCGAACCCACGCCTCCATTCGGAGACCAGAAAGCCCCGCCCCCCGGGAAGGCTCATCGCCTTGAGTCTGGCGCCTTAGACCACTCGGCCATCCTGACAGTACGGTGGGAAGGGCGCTCACGGAGGCTCTTCAAGGCTCCAGAGGAGCTGCGCAGCGGAGGAACACCGAAATGTGGCCCGGTCGGAGCCCCCTCACTCGGCGCGGATCGCTCCCCTTCGCGATTGCGGCGCCCCACTCCCCCCCTTTCTTCTTTTTCTTCTCCCCCCCCCCAAACAAACTACATGCCCCAGGATGCAACGCTCCACGGCGGGCGCAGGCGGGTGACGTCCAAGTCAGTGTCCATTTTGTTCCCCTCTTGCCCGG